CGCTTCGTCATTCAAACCGTAGGCTCCCGCTCTGGAGCGCTACCGTCGTGGAAGATCGTCTGATAATTGGAGACATTGTCCTTATGCAGCTCCATTATTTCGGCGTCGACAGCTGCATGCTGGCGCCAGGGTGGTAGAAGAAAGAGTTGAAGCGCTTGAAGGGGTCGTGCCGAAGGTAGCGGATAACATTCTTGTCCATATTGCAGAAAGGAGAAGCAGGAGTCGAGCCAGTGATACTAATAGAAAGACCAATCCTTGATGTATAACTGCTCACATTACCGGTTACCCTCTTCAGGTAATAGGCAAATACTTGGGTTCAAAAAAGTATGACAAAACTTTCCCGCCAACCTAATAATCAGGAAGTGATTTCAGACGACTCGTTCAATGATAGCTGCAGTGGTTCGCTGATTTCTCCACATCATGTGCTCACCGCAGCACACTGTGTGACCAACTACAATCCTATCTCGGTGGCTCAGGAATGCATGGGAGAACTGCCCGGTTACTCGCCATCCATAGTTAAGCCAAAATACTTCAAAGTATTCGCTGGAGTTAATTGCAGCATTGTGGAGACATGTCAAACCCCGTATGAGGTCAAGGAGGTTCGTGTTTCTGCAACTGCTATAATCGTTTACAATTGTAGTTTAGAAATTTCATTGTGTCAGGTTATTGTTCACGAGAAATGGAACCGATGCATCAAATCAGATATACACTCTATTCAAACACAACAAAACGACTTGGCTATCGTCGAACTCACGAAAAATATCAGCCGCAAGGAAGCTCGTGCCATTTGTTTAGCAAGTCGAACCCTTAAACTAGCAAGTATGCTACGAGGTGCCGGATCTGGAATGGATTGTGGGTTTCTTGAATACTACTCGTTAATGTGCACGCTTGCTTTTTTGAGCCCAGGTCAACTTTATGTCGTAGCCGTTGCTGCGCACTCCACCTCTCTAACATTCAGCCCTCACATAACTTTACGACTGCGTTCATAATTTGTGATCGTCTAGCAGTATCATTAACATTACGAGCGTCCGTCAGCGAGTAAGGTATAGTCATCGATCTAGCGAGCAGCAGGGTCCAACGGCGTCCAATAGCATCCGTCAGCGACCAGAAGTAGAGAGTATGGGGAAGTAGGAAGGAGGAGACAGCTGGACTGCAAGGGGCAAGGATGTGAAATGTGCAGTTGCACTGCACTATTACACAGTACCGTACTCACGGGACATTTGACGGTGGTAGATGTATTTGTACTCTATTTAACACATTGAACGCCGCGTGAATTGTCGGCAATACACGCGCATACTCCCGTTTCTCGCGTTTGTGTATTGCCCACAATTCACGTTTTGTGGGTCGGTTTTTAGTGGGTATGAGTATGAGTGCGACTTGAATCATTTTCACCAAGTATATGTTCAGTGAGCTTTGCTTATGCTTAGTTCTTGATGGCGCGAAAGAAGCTGCTCATTGAAGTAATTCATTAATATTACAAAACACAGTCAGTGGCGCGGCCCATTGCGCCCGATAGGCCCATGCCGGCCTCCAGTGACCGTGTCGTTGTGAGACTGCCATTGCGCTCTCTCGCCCGTCGTTTTCTGGCCTCTCTCGTCTCTTATCAGTGTATCGCCGCCTTTTGCAATCCACAATTGATCTTGACCACCTTACGCTCGTCCGGTGATCATGATCAATTGCAATAAAGAGGGTCTTATTCCGGGCGCTTTTTCGTGCTTCCTTCTTCTTCAATAAGTCAACAAACACACGGCAATTCTATTTTTGAACTGTATTACCTATGAACTGTGGTCGCGGGAATTGCCTTCAAGAAATCATGCCAACTCTTGATATTGAAAAGCTTTACAGTTTTTCTGAAGACCTGCTTGTTTAGGAGAAATTTTAGATGGGTCACCAAAGCGCTACCCTCTGAACCACTCAAAAATTCGACTCCTTCTGTGCCATTGTGAGGATACACCTTCAGAAACTTCAGTGTGCTTTCGAAACACATATTCCCATTCAAATGAGTGAAAGAAGAGCTTGGTTATCATCGATCGATTTGGTCCGAGTGTGCGCCGTGCATTACGCTTCTACGCAGAGGTGGTGGAAAGGTGTAACTTCTGATTTCAGGTGATTTTTGTCCATGCAAGCAGATGTTTGTTTAGGGTTTGGAAAGGACAATACGCACGAATCTGTTTGAGATGTATTATTTAGTCATCTACGTACTTACGAGTTCATGCTAACAACTGATATTGCTAATCAATTTTTTATTATTTTGTAGTCTTCCTTACATCCGGGTCTTCTGCAGCTTTCCGTCCGCTTCCATCAAACTTAGCAATGACACTTTTGTGCTGTTTGATGCTCACCGACCCTGCGTTTGCGACCGTGCCCATGTCCCCTGCGGCCAAGTGCGACCCCTTTCTGGGGATTTCGCACGAAAAGAAGGCTGATGAACGGAGCGGTTAAATCTGTAAGAATACTTTCATGGAAAATTTGGTTTTTTTTTAACATCACGGCTTTCATAGCTCCACTCCTTCTATCAACTGAAACGTCATAGCGTTGTCCGGTGCTGACTGACCCTTGAGATTACGACCCCCCCCCTCCCCAGCGGCCAAGTACGATCCTCTCTATGGGTCGCCTCTAATTACCAGCAGGGTACAGCATCTCGTTGTGCGAATCGTTTCGCACAACGAGATGCTGTACCCTGCTGGTAATTAGAGGCTGATAACTTCGGTAAGCAAGCTGGTCGCATTCCCTGATCGAGATCCATGATCTTTTGGCGTAGCCTGATCC